TAGGTGTTAGTTGATGAATCAGCTCATAAGCCAGTGTATGCTGATCTGGCTATTGCTGCTAAAGGGAAGAGACCTCAGGCAGCACCAACACAAGAACAACCAGTGGTATATGCATCAATTAACAACAAAGTAATGATAATGTACATGTACATGTAATGGTATCTTATACATCCAATCTCTCTCTCTCCTCCTAGTCTGTTCCTCCTCCCATTCCTCCTCCAGCTGCTCCTCATAAAGTATTGTATGCTGATCTATCAATAGCAGCTGGTAAGAGAACACCAAAGAATAAACCACCCACTGAGGAAAGAGTAGTCTATGCAGCAGTAAATGGAAATGTAAGGCAATACACATTATACTGTATGGAGTAACACACCCTTTATCTCTCTCCCCCCCTCTCCCTCTCCCTCCCTCTCTCTCCTCCAGAGGAAATCCACTGCTCAAGAGCTGATCATGGATAGGTTAGGTGGTCTGGATATTCCTCCTCTAATACCACCAAAACCAAAACCTTGAAACCAACACAAAGACATCAATCCTCCCTGTCTCCAGTAGTATAGAGTGGACATACTTTAGTATAATGTATTGTGAAACGATTAACTCTATCTTGTAATCTCTCTCTCTCCCTGTCTTTCATTATTAATGTCATGGGTATATAGTATAAAACCTTTTGTAATTTTTAGTTCATTCTAATCAACAGAACCAACAATGTATAAAGTATTATAAAGTTATAGTTAACGACAGCAATATTAATGGTTCATCTACTCAATACAATTTTACTGGGAACAATCCTAATATATAACTATTGATGATCTTGAAGTTGATACAATATTGGATGGATCATCATCAATAACCACACCTAGTCCTACCAATCCTGATTAAAGGTAGCTCCATTCCTTTATTCAGGTGATCTGAGCATGAGCAGTACACAGTACTGGGAACACCTATACCATGCATCTGATCATGAGTAGATGCAATTACTGCAATAAATGAGATCTAACTGCACTTGAACCATTTCAAAATATTAGCTAAACTGAATCTTTTTAATTATTAGCTACAGTAAGTTGTCATGAAGTATTGCTAGCATTAACTCACGTGATGTCAGCATTAGGATGCATTCCAAAGACTTCAGGAGTGATGACCATGGGAAGGGAATCAATGTAACTGATGTAATCCTCGACTGTCTTGAACACTGGGATTGGAAACACTTTGCAATTACAGAATCTAAAGTTTTGTTGGAACATGTGCTCACCAAACCAAAGCTACATGAACAAGAGAAGGATATAATGAGGACAGATTTAATGTATAAGTCCATGAAACACTAACAGTCTTCATTGCATGAAAACATCAAAATAATTATTATTGTATATTATTTTGATTACATTAGATATCTCTACAAGCAGCAAGTCATGACAATACCCTACCACCAGTACTGTTTAATGACTGCAGTATAGTAGATACTAACTTTAGCATAAGTGTTCAGTAAGTGTTTGTCATAATCATCAGTGACTCTTCCTCCATACTGTATCTCACCAATCATGTACCGTACAGCACTCCATGAAGGACCCTATACATGTACATATATCATAATACCAATACTAGTTGAAATACCTTCTTCAAGTCCATATCATCAAGTAGGTTCTGTATGTATTATATAGGCAGTAGCCTATATGTAGGATTGAGGTTGATTTTTCAAGATGGCGGCTGTTTTTATGATTTTCAAACACTTATAACTCTTTTATCTTACGTTGTACAGCCTTATAAATGGCTTAGATGAGCTCTCCTTCACTGAGCGATTCTCCTGGTACCTTTAAAGTGGACTGTAATGTAGTGGGAGCATTTCTGGAGAATAGGCCCAAATTCAAATTTCTCAAAATTCTTCAGACTTTTTCTTCTTCTTCTTCTTCTTTCATCTTCTTCTATCAACACGGAAATCTTTTAAGCCAGGGAATCGCTCGAGTTGGCTTTTACATCATTCCTTTGTGCTTGAGTCAAGGACCGGACATGTGGCTTCAAAAAGAAGCAAAGACAGAGAACAATGGAAGACAAATTCCAGCTGGAGCACCGTGTGGGTTTGTGGTTTGACGCCATTTTAATTTATGCACATGTGATTAGCATGAATATCATTAACCTAACCACATAATCAAAACACTGAAAACAGAATGTAATTTATTAATTTAAGAAAAAAAGAATGGAAACAAGTAAATAAAAAACATTAAAAATGGAAAAGTAGTAGG